AACGTTTGATACCAGACACGGGGAGCTTGTTTCAACCCGTACAGGCTCTTCAGGAGTTTGCACACAAGGTGTTCCTTACCCGGGATTTTAAAACCTTCTGGTTGAGCCATGTAGATCTCCTCCTCCAGAACTCCGTTAAGAAATGCCGTCTTGACATCCATTTGGTGGATTTCTAGATCGAGCAGAGCTGCGATCGTGAGAAGGAGTCTGAGTACCTCCATCCTGATAACAGGTGAGAAAATCTCGTTGTAATCAATGCCATGTTCCTGAAGGAAACCTTTTATCACTAGACGCGCTTTGAAACGGTCAATGTCGCCTGCGCCGGTGTACTTGACCTCCTCTCGGGTCCTTTTCCGCTTAGTTCGAGCAAAATACCCATCGGCTGGTTAAAATCTTCCTTCCTTTTGGAGGAGATACCAATACCCAAGTGTTGTTTTCCATGTGGGACTTATAAAATACCCATCGGCTGGTTAAAATCTTCCTTCCTTTTGGAGGAGATACCAATACCCAAGTGTTGTTTTCCATGTGGGACTTATATTCCGATTTGGCTGCTTTGTGCCACTGATTAGCGTGAGGGGATTTCATCGCTCCTCGATACGTAGTGGGCTCTGTCACATACCGAATAGCTAGTAATGTGTACAGTAATGTCCTGCGCTGCTCTTTCTCCTGTAAATCTTCCTCGGAATCGAGGGCTACATCCCTGCCGACTGAGTCGCAATGGGGTCTTTTAGGCTTAGGAGAGGAAGGAGGATCAGTTTTCGTCTCCCCACAGAAAGTGTAATGCGAGCGTTTTAGGGCCTCCCTGAGTGGGGGCAGTCTGGGCAGCGCTGCAGATGTTGTCGTTGCAGGGACAGGTGCAAGATGTTGCGTTTGCACAGTCGATTGTTGCATCTGTGATGATTGTTCGGGGTTTGTCAGGTTTGCCAAACGAGGGAATTCGTCCTCTTTGAAGGTTACATCACGGCTGTAGACAATTGCATGGGTATTGACGTCCATTAGGCGGCAGCCTTTCTTGTGCTCGGGAAGGCCAACGTACATGCACAAACGTGCTCGCGCATCAAGTTTATCACGGTATTGCTCTGTGATATGCGCATAGGCACTGCATCCGAACACTTTGATGTAGTCCATGGATGGTTTGCGATTGTACCAAAGTTCATATGGTGTACGGTCGTTAGTCGTCGAGCTTGGTGTCATGTTAATCAGAGTGGTCACATGACAGACACACTCCGCCCACAATTGCTTGGGAAGATTGCCATCAAGCAGTAGGGCTCGAACGCGCTCCATAATGGTTCGATTGCGTCGTTCAGAAACACCGTTCTGTTGAGGAGTGTATGCATTCGTAAACTGCGCATGTGTTCCGTATTTCTGGAAAATCTGGCGCCCGAGTTTTTCACACTCCTTTGCATTGTCTGCTTGCAAAACCTGAATGTCACAGTTCTCAGTAGGATGCGGATACTCAAGGACATTGACGTCGCTCCTAAAGATGTTCAGGGCTTTCTTCCTGAAGTCCTCATAGCACTCATATACTTCGCTTCGGTTCGTTATCGGATACGTGAACATGTACCGAGAGAAATCATCAATAAAGATGAGAAAATAGCGGCGTCCAGTAAGACTGGGAACAGGCATGGGACCACAAATATCTGTATGCACTTTTTCCAAAGGGTGTTTGGCACGTTCAACAATTCTATTAGAGTTAAACGGAGAGCGGTGAGACTTCGCTAATGTGCATGCAGTGCAGAAAAACTGTGCTTGCGGGTCGACAGATGAATCGTTGTCTAGACCACTAATGGCTTGGCTCCTAGATAAATCGTGCAAAATGCGAGCGTTAGGATGGCCGAGCCTTTTGTGTAAAAGCAGATTGGAACGTTGCTTACCTGAGGTGGCAATAAGAGCCTCGTGTTTCATCACAGGGTTGGCTTGGAATTGGTATAGATCGGCATGGTTTGCCATCATTGCCTTGATCTTGAACTTCGCATCGGTTTGCACGGCGCATTGCTTGCAATCAAAGCTGAAGCGAAAGTCATGCTTCACGGCTGCCGGTACCGAGAGAAGGCTGAATTTCAGCTCAGGAGCATACAGCACATCATGGAGGGTGAGCATCCTCTTGGTGCCTTTGGAGTCAATGACTTCCAGCTCGACTTGTCCAATTCCTTCGATGGGGATTTGGTTCTTCCCACCAACAGTAATAGAGCCGCTGCTCGCAGTTATGGTCGAGAACCACTGGGATTCGTGCGTAACATGACGCGTGCATCCAGAGTCGATAGTCCAGGTGGGCTCGGGGCTCACGGTGGCTTGGGCAGTCAAGCTGATTGCGGCGTTGACAGTCGCTACAACAGCAATAAGACCGACATCGTGGCGCTCTTGGTTGAAATCCTTGCGCTCGTTGCCTGAATCGTTCTTATCTAGGCTCTTTTCAGATCGGTTGTCACGTCGATCACGATTGCCACGTCCACCACGATTGTTGCGTCCACGACTGGAGTTTTTGTTGCTGTGGCGGTACGGATGGTTACGGCTCGAGTTGCCTCCCTTAAACGCAAAGTTTGCGGGAAGCACCGTACCAGCTTTCACACGGCCTTCACGGAGATCCTTTTGGAGAGAGCGGCAGTGGCGAATGTCGTGGCGTGGTCGCTCACAGTACATGCACATTCGAGATCCACTTGACTGGGCCAAGTTGGGTGTAGCAACAAGGGCTCGCTCGCCTTTGGTTGTTTGACTCTCAGGTGTGCCCTTGGCTAGAGTATAGCGCTCTTCCGCAAGAATCTCACGAACCTTCCGTTCGATGTTGGCCTTAAGTTCTCCGTACGGGATATACTTCCGCTGACCCTTCCAAACACGGAGATCATCCTTCCATGATTTGGGTAACGCGTGGAACAGGTAAATTGACTTCTGTCCTTCCGTCATCACCGATTCGGTGGCTTCTGAGGTAGCATGCATCGCGTTTTCCAGTTTTAGAAAGAAATCTCAAGATCGCCTCCCTCCTCGTACTTCAGTTCCATGAGGAAATGCTGGATAAAGTACGGGTCACCATGAAAGGCGGCACCTTCATACTTAGCACAGATTGCTTGGAAGATCTGGAAAGAAGTCTTCAGATCCTTTACTAGACGCACGTGCGTGTTGTCCATTGTTTTCATCAGGAACGCTTTCGTCTTCGCCTCTTGGCGGCGTTGCTCGCTACTGGTTAGCGGCTTAGGCTTGCGTCGAGCCCCGCGCTTTTCAGCACGCTTCGCATCGCGGCGGTTAAGGGGACGGTTGGAGGGTTTCTTCTCCTTCGTCGTCGAGTCGCTGTCTCCGGAATCGTCATCAGAGTCGGACGGGGGCTTCAGATCGTCGTCGCTTTCGTCATAGTCGACGGCATCAGAATCAATCTCTTCAGCCGGCTTGGACTTCGGCGAGTCGTCTATGTCGGACATGTCGCTCCCACTATCATCGCTCTCTTCCTCGGATACACCGTCGTAGTCGGCCTTCGTCACGAAGCCGAGGAGATGCTTGCCGTCGAGGGCTGCGCACACGCGGGCCTTCCAGACATCAAAGTTCTCTGCGCCGATAAGACGCGGGAAGTCGTCGCTTGAGGCTTGGCTTGAGCTCATAACCTGTTACGGTGAGCGGATGGGAACAGACGTGTAGAGTAGACACTTGTGAGGAAAGGGAGAAAAAGAAAAGTGAATTGAATAATTAGTGGTGAGGAGGCCGGAGGCCTGTACACTCTGGCGTACACTATACAATAGTATAGTTCAGTCAATCACCTTAGAGAGGTCTCAGGTACAACAGGTACAGTGTACCAGGATAGTGAGATGCATTATCCTTGACAGAACTGAGCAAGCACCTGAAGTGCAATCACCGCTTTTTTTAACGATGTGTCGAATCCGGTGATCTTTTAAGCGAGTGGTGGGATCCGTGAAGGTGACATCTTCAGTCGTTTAGTCCCCATCGCCTCGATATCACCGTCTTCTGAAGCAGCGAGGCGGCCGCGCTCAAATGCTCAAACTTCAGTTGAGCGCCGGAACGGTCGTGCTTTTAGACGTTATTGGTAATCGTGAAGATATCGCCGCGTTAGACTATATCCCAGTATGTACCGATCCCGCCGTGCTCAACTGGTGCCGTCATCACCATTCAACCCTACGTTAAACACCGCGCGGGGCTGCATCGGACAATCCGAGGAAACCCAACATTTGCTGATGGTAACTTCAACGTGCGGACTAGATACTAGTATCATACTACTAGTACATGTCATTGCGTCACCGCCGCCCAAGACTTGGGCCAAGTCGGTCCTCAGCGACAGTAAGTAGATTTCAAGGAATAGAAGGTCTATCGAACCCAGCCACGCGAAAGTCTGACACGATTAATAACAGCGTCCCCACCTTTCAGAGCGTGGAGATTCCGCAATTCCTAAGAGCTTTATATAACTGGAAACATCATGGTCTTGCATGAACCTATTGCTAGGTTTGCTGACTGCACAGGTTAAAATCACGCGACCAACTTCAATGCGCTTGACAGTTTGCTACAGTCGAATGGATTGCGAAACCTTGCGCTTCTCGTTGGCGTCTGGCACCACCGACGGAACTTCCGTTGCTTTATTAAATAAATTATTTCAAATTATTTGTACAGCTGCAATTATGTGGTCCACATATCATCGTATTTAGCGAAGTTGTCAATAGATTGCTGGCAATAATCGCGCGCGAACAATGGAACTCAGCGCATGGCGCGACGCGGTGTCTTACGGCACGTATCTGCAACCTATCCACCTGGAAGTGGTGGAATCAACTTCACTACATTCATCCATATCTGCTGCCCAAGATTCGTCGTCCGAATCGCCCCAGAACTTGCACACTTTCAGTGGCAAGCCCACCGAATCTTCTTCAAACGGAACTTCTGCTGCTCAGCAGGACCCAGAGGCCACTACAGCTCTGCAAACTGCCCAATCTACCGCTCAGCTAACAGATACGACGAGCGTCATAGCGATACCACCATTTACCTGTGAAGGCATCAATGGTGGCGAGCAGATGGCTCTCAACGTCGGTGGGCCAGTCTGGGCCATGGATTGGCTGCCGTCCAAGCCAGCACCCAACGCCGCCGCAGTGGCCGCTGCTATCGCTAAGAGCAATGAGAAAAAGCCTCGACGCGCCTCTGCAGCCAGTAAAAAGGCTCAAAAAGCGGCTTTAAACGGCAAGGAAAACAACCAAGTGGAAGACGCAGATGGGGACACAACTGCAGCCTCTAATGGCAATCCAGAGTCTCAAAAAGACTCTAAATCAGAGTGGAGATTTCTAGCGTTAGCTACACATCCACCGTGTCAAGTAGCGGAGGGGAAAGTGGTGAAAAACACGCCCCCAGACCATTACTACGATATACCAGAGAGCGCACGGAATATGCTCCAGATCTGGGCCATTCCAGTGCAACGGCCGAAGCTATCGACAGATAAACGAGGCAAGACAGCGACGAAGAGCCTTGTGAAGCCCAGACTAGTGTACGCTATCGACCATGAGAGCGGCGTGGCGTGGGATTTGCAATGGTGCCCACTAGTGAAGAAATTCCCCACGACAAACCGTCGAGAAAATATTCTAGGAATATTGGCGGCGTGTTTTGGAGATGGCAGCATGAGGGTGTTCAAGATCCCAGCGATCCCAGAGGAAAGGCTACAGGTGAATATTGGCAAGGAGCAGTGTCTTGTGGAAAAGAATATCCCCATTGTGGTTGCCAAGTTGTCGCGTATTATGCAACTCAGTGTGCATTGGTCTCCACACACGTGGAATTTGCTGCTGACGGGTGGATCTGACGGTACGTAGTGGCTTGTGTCTTGGAGGGCTGTAAGTTTAAGCACTGATGAAGGGCGCTATGGCCTGCAGGCTCTGTGTCACTGTGGAATATAATGTCTGCGGTAAGCGGAAGTGACAGTTTAACAGGTGAACGCAATGAACCAGAGCCCATAGAGCCACAACGACGCTTTCAGGACGGTGAGAGTGTGAACTATAGGTGATGATGATTGATGCCTCCGAGCTAACTGCGTGTGGTGTGCCAGCTGATACAATAGGAAAACAAGAAGCCTTCGATTGGGGCTGTGGCTGGGTAGCCATCCGTGCAGTTGCCTGGTCTCCGTTTGATGAACACTTGTTCGCGACCACTGGAAATGTATATACATGTACTTCCTCAGCATAACATCATCCAATTCTGATGTACTAACCGCTTTGACGTTATAGGACTCGGTATTCAAGGTGTGGGATGTCCGGGAGCCTCGAGTGTGTCTGCGGTCACACCGAATACGCTCCACGTGGGGACTGGCGCTGCAGTGGATGGACCAGACGTCTATCCAGATCTCCGGCGACCAAGGCTCCGTCTACATGTATGACATCCTGGTACGAAGAGTCTCTGCAATGGCCACTTGGACAGGTCTGTTTTAACGCAATTTGCCGCTATGCTGCTGTGCAGAGTGGGAGCTACCAGAAGCTTCACTTTCACCCCCAAATCGACTCCCCCGTGTGGGATCTGCAGTTCGCTCGACGTGGTGCTGTTCCTCTCCTGATCTCCTCGTGCACCTCTGGAAGCATTCGAGCTGCACCCGCTAAAAAAATGTATCGCGCGCCCCAGAATTGCGTCGAAATCTGTCGTCTCTCTGGAGAAAAGGACGCGAGTATCGACAAGCCGTTCAAGTCTCTTCGGGTATCGTTCGACAAGCACTCGGTCTTAGGGTCTGCGGATACTGTGAGTCAATCTACGCGGGAGTTCTGCGAGCGAGATGCTGCGTTGCATCGGCTGCGTCTGTCTTCCATAACTCCTGGTGATTATCCGTGCTTCCTGGCTGCTGGAGGCCACGCAGGCCTTGTGATCCTGCTGGAAATGCAGGAGATGCTCGATACATTAATCCCAACGTTCTTCATGCCTCCGTCCAAGAAAACTGGCCGGCCGAAGAAGATATTCGCGACTGTAGGTGGCCACCACGTGCCGAAGAAGAAGCCTACGCCGGCTACGAAAGGCGCAGCAGCAAGTGCAGGACGGAAAGCCAGGACACTCGGGAGCTTCGCCAAAGCCAAAGGGATGCACACAGCGCTGAGTAAGTACAAGAAGAAGACTCTCGGAAATGGCAAAAAGAAGGCGAACCCCCGTGCTAACGCGAAAAAGAAGTCTTTTATCCAGGAGGATGAAGAAGTGGACAATAGCGCCGAGGATGAGGAGCCAGAGTTTGAAGAGGAAGACGAGGACGAGTCGGACCTGTCGCTAGTGATGGGGGACAGCTCAGACGACGATCGTGTCAGTGTATCAGACAACGCTGTCGAAGAGGAGGAAGCGACTGCGACCGAGAGCCCGGAAGAAGCTCGGCTTATGAAGGAATATCAGCTGGACTTGTCGGAGGAAGATGCCATCAAGCTAGCGATTCAAATGTCTAAGGAAGCGGTGGAAGAGAAGCCTCCAGCGCCAGCAACGTCGGAGAGTCAAACGTCTACAACGCATCTAGAGGACACCAAGGCTGGAGCTGGAGCTAAGAAGCGCACGGCGACAGCCAAAGCTCCACGTGGTGGGCGACGAAGGAGGAACATGTCTGAGGAGGAAGCTGTCCAGCTAGCCATCCAGATGTCCATAGAGCTGGTTGAAGAAAAACCTCCAGCGCCTGTGGTTCCTGGGTCGTTGGACGATATGAATTCAACTGAGAATTCTGGAACCAAGGGGGGAGCAGCAGCCAAGAAGCAAAAGAAGACTGCTACAGCTCGACGTGGTGGGCGGAAAAGCAGTAACAGCCAAGGCGATACCGGTGCTGTTGACGCTGTAGCAGATCATATGCCGAAGGAGCTGATGGAAGATATACTACCGGCTCCAACAAATGCTGTAGATCCTGCAACACCAGTCGATAAAAGGCCAGCCAAGCGCTCTCGTATCACCCGAACCAAGTCCGAACCTCCAGCCAAGAAGCGCAAGACGACGATACCATCACGTGGTAAACCACGAAGCGGCAATGACCAAGGCGACGCTAAGTCTGACGAGGCAGTAGCAGTCCAAGCGTCGAACAAGATGGTTGGAGGAAAAGAATCAAGCGCTGTTCCTAAGTTATCGAAAGGACCTGGCGCTGGAGCTGAGGCTGAAGAAGCTGATACGAAGACGCCTGCATCTACAGGTGGTGAGCAACAAAGCGGCAATGGCAATGAAGTGTCTGAGGAGACTGTCAAAGAGTCCAGCGAGCTTATTAAAGAAAAGCCAGCTACCTCTGTAGTACACAGCACTGCAGGCCCAGGAGCCTCCGAGTCAGCCACGAGTTCCAGTAACGCTGCGATCAAGGCTGGAGCGGCATCCAAGAAGCGCAAGAAGACGCCAACTGCACGTGGTGGACGAAGAAGCAGTGTCGTGTCGGAAGCAATCCAAATAACCAAGGAGCTGCTTGAAGAAGAGCAACCTGCACCCTTTTCTGCCAATGCTACAGCTATTGTCACCCCAGAACGTGAATTGCCAGCAAAGCGTTCCAACACTGGGACCAAGGCTAAAGCTGCAGTCAAGAAGCGCAAAAAAACTGTTGCAACTCCACGTGGTGGGCGACAAAGCACCAGTGGTCAAGATGACAGTGAGAAAGTGTCCAAGGATGAAGAACAGAAACAGGCATCTGAGCGTGGTGCGATTTCGGAGAGTAAAGAAGCAGCAAGTCGTTTCATTAGTGACAAGGCCATGGCTGCAGCTACGAAGCAGCGCGCAAAGACTACGGCAGCCCCACGTGGTAGAAGACGAAGCAACAACGCTCAAGGTGACATCATGACGGAGGAGGACGCTCTACGTCTGGCATTGACGATTTCTGAGCTCGAATATTAGTTAAGCAGTTCTAAATTTTAGAACTTTGAATCGATGGATTTAATAGTGGATCCAGATCCCCGAATGTCTCCTGTTCCACTTTGTGATACGTTCGGGAATGAGTTCTTCTTGTTCCTGTTCGTTGATAGCACCAACCAACTCCACGAGTTCCTATGACGTGAATTTTTTTTAATTTCACGATTAAATCGTCTCTGGCCAGTACTCATTCTTAACCCTATTGCTATTGCTACCGTCGCCACTAAAACCATGCAATATGCTTGGTTTTACACTTCTTACTCAACCAAAATGTGAGGATTTTATTTTGAGCGAATCTGCGGAAAACCAAGCATATTGCTTGTTTTTACTACAATAAATTGCAATAATTATTGGTAAACCCAGCAATATGATATAATTTGCTGCCTCGGTGCGGAGTAAAACCCAGCATATTTGCATGTTTTACATTTTTCTGTGGGACATTTACTTTACAAAATCCAAGTAATTTTTTGGCAGCAATTGGGTTAACATCCAAGAGCGCAACAAGAATAGCGATTAGGATAAAACTTTTCCCCCTACAAAACCCTCTTAAAAATGATATCCAACTCACACTGCTATAATGCTATACCCAGAGCCTCCAAAAACACATTGTGAAAAGTTTGTTATTTGCTTCGAATCATCTTGTCCCTCTCGATGGCCTTTCCGATGTCTATCTCGAATGCCGCAGTAAAGAACGTGCTATCGGATTTAACACCCTTCGAGCGCCACTGATGAATTTGCAGCGACTTTAGCATCTCCGCAGTCTTGTCTGGATCTTTCATTCTCTTCACTCCATAAAGCAGTGAGGCTGAAGCCCGCTCTCCGTGAACCGTTTTAAGCTGGTTGAGCATCGATGAAATGGTATTCCCTCTTGTAAACTATTGCAGTTAAACTCGCTTACACAGCCAACCCGCACCAGACAGGCGCATCAAAAGGCGAAGTTGTCGTGCTGTCAAGATTTATCCTCTTATAGACATCCACGGGGATAAATTCTTGCTAAGCCAGGCTAAAACTGCTCAAGCTGTAGCTCTGTCGCCCACGTTTTCGTAGTGGCTGACGTTCGCTCCATTTCGAGCATCTTCGACACATTCGAGGTTACTCACGCTTACTTTACAAATTTTACAGGATATATGTGCGAGTTATGCCTACTTTACCGCATATGTAAACGGTAATTTATGCAAAGCAAAAGCTCGAATCTTATCGAAATATGCTAATACTTAATTTAAAGTACCTAAATAGTACAAAATAAATGTTGAGTCAACCCGGTTGACTCAACCGTGTTGACTAAGTACCATGAGCAATTTATATTGTTGCTATGTAGGTATCTACGGCAGGGGGTAATGGTAACTCCAAAATCGGTAAAGTTTATATTAGATAACAGTCTCAAAAAGTGTGTCTTAGCGTATGGTGCTTAATTTCGCATAAAATCTAATTTATGCGAATTCCATGCCTTATTCCGGAAAACATGATTCTTAGAAAAGCACATGCTTGTTTTTTGCATTTACCCTGCTGTTTTTTATATTCGCATCTCATGGCTCAGGCCGTTACTTCTGGGATAAGTACGATCCTATGAAAAACAGTTGGCTACATTTGTGGCCCAAAAATTTAACCCCTTAGTTCCTTTATGTAGGATCTTCCAACATAAGAAGTGTATACCCTAATTCACTTCTGTTGCACCTTTTATTTTATGTTGGAGGTCCAACATAAGCAAAACTTATACCTGAATTTTGTATGGGGTAACGGTCCATATCCTACCTTTCCCCGCTATAGTGAAATGAAGTCATTGATATGAGTGTAAAAAGGTCACATGCACAGGCTTAGGTTTAGTTTGGTTGAATGAGTTAGAAAAGGGAGGTACACACCCACTATCGAGCGAGTGGCCACCAGCCACCAACCTACTCACTCTCCAAAACGACGGCCGAGAGCAACATGGTTGCGCCGACACCCAAGACACCGCGTCACCACCTCACCGAGCAAGAAAGGCGCCTCTGTTGCGAGGCTCTGCTAAGTGAGCGTCACGAGCGCCGCATTCGACGGACAGAGCAGAAGAGCGGCGGCGATAGAGCAGGGCAGACGAAGGCGAAGAAGGCGACAAAGAAGAAGGCTGCCAAGCGCACAACGGCAGATATGGAGGTGGCGCAGTATAAAGGTCTGTATATCCCTTCAGAAAGTGCTCGGGTTGCAGACACGGCGGACGAAAAAGAGGGCTCGCGAAGCCAGACGATTGCTGAAGCGAAGGAAACGATAGAGACAACCGCGATAGCGGATGCGATGGAGGTGGAAGCAGACCACGAGACGGAGGTGACAGAAGTCGTCGCGGACATGGTTTTTAGCGTTGAGACTGCGCTGCCTGCCCAACAGTCTGGTATCGCGTTAGCTACTACTGATTCCAGTGCTGAAAAACGAAAGCGTAGTACTCAAGCTCCGACAAGAGAGCATCGCCGCGCTCTCCTACAAGAAGACAGCGATGGCGACGATGACACGGTGCGTTTTGTTCGTTTATCCAACCTAGAAGGATTGTGGCTGACAGCATGTCTAACATAAGATCCAACATACGTGATGTATGGTGAACAGAGAATGCAAGGTGACGAAGACGAGAGTGTTTACGAAGCAGACGTTGAGCACAGTGTACCTGCGTGTGTTATTGACACAGACCCTAACTTTATGGACGAAGGAGCTGACGAATGCACCGGGCTCAACTCCGATGAGGACCCAGAGCTTCGTGAGGAACCTGAAGACGAAGAGGATGCTGATGACGATAGTTGGGACGGTGACTGGGACATTGGAGAGCTGACAGATGAAGATTCGGACCACGACATCGAGGAGCTTCCAAACACGGCGTGGTTGTCCGCAGCGAAGAACGCACCACTGATCACTGCAATGCGTACCGATGTATGGTACGTTATGTTGGCCGAATCCAACATAATCCTTTTATTTTGTTTCTGAGTTAACATAAAGGCTAACATAGTTTCTGTCCTTGTGTGTTGTATCTAGACGCGACTAAATTTGGACCTGACCCAACGTATGCTGGGTTGTATGATGGGCCATACGGACCAAGTGACAGCGTGCTACGCCTTAGGGCCGTTCTTAACGGGATCATGATTGGGGCATGATCCGAAATTCTGCGTTCCGATTGGATACCAAAAATACATATAGTGACTAGACTGTGAGTCGGTGATCCCGGCCAAGGGTCACAACCCATTCTCGGATCACGGAGCACAGCTTGCTACAATCAAGATGAAGGCTGAAATAAATGTATTGCTCGTGGCGAGTATCATCACTTCCCAAACACATAAATCTCGCCGAAAAAGGGTTGTTTCGAGGGAACGACTGGAGTGGATTCCCCACCAGGAACACTTACTACTCGAAGGTCAGTTCAAGCGTTATTACCGAATGAGTGCTGGCGCTTTCGATGGCCTACTACATCTAGTAACCCCGTACTTGCAGCGGGTTGCCTATAAATCAACTAACAGAACTGGTATAAAGGCGATCGAGGTAGTTAACATGCTTCAAATGACCATTTCGTGGCTTGCCGGTGGGTCTTACCACTCTATACGCGTTTTAACTGGTGTTAGTACACCCGCATTCTACACAATAGTTGTTGACGTCATGAAAGCAATTTGTGATCACCCCAAATTTCAGATCGTTGCTCCAATATATGACGCGCGATCTATCGAGGCGGTGGCTTCATCATTTGCAGAGATCAGTTCAAACAATATTCTCACAGGTTGTGTAGGCTGTATCGACGGTTGGTTATGTACAATCAGAGCGCCGAGTGCAAAAGAAGTCCCTGATGTCTCCGCCTTTTTCTCTGGACACTATCTTACATACGGAATTAACGTTCAAGCGATGTGTGATGCCTCGTGCAGATTCACGGGCAATTCCTTTAATTCTCCTGGTAAAGTTTCTGACAGTGTCGCACTAAAAAAATGGAGAATTTGTACTGATTTCGAGAAACTTCCTTTTGGCTATTACATAATTGGAGACAATGCGTATATTCTCGCTCCGTCAATGTTGGTTCCTTTCACGAAGCCCGAAATTAAAAGTCCTGAGCATTCAGCTTACAATTTCTATTTGTCTCAACTAAGGATAAGAATCGAAATGGCATTCGGTCTGCTTGTCAACAAGTGGCGAATATTTCAGAGAGCATTGGTGGTAGACTATGTCCACACAGGCCTTGTGATCAAAACCTGCATGAAGTTGCATAACTATTGTATTGACGATCGGTTGGGAGCTACGGTGAGCGCTGGAAGTAGCAAAATTATACTGCAGGAGTTTAACGCCATGGAAGATTGCAGTTATCAGCACACAGTTAATGACGATGCGTCTAATTCTTGTATCAAAGTGAAAAATGGTCATATCCTACGACAAGTAGTCTTAGAACACATTCAAAGTTACAACATGGCTCGGCCATAATACATTTTGTTTTCAGACGCTTTTTTATACTTTTGATTTTATAACTTGTTCTTCCCTACTATCTGTAGTTTGTTCGAATACTCTTGATATTAGCTAGCTGTCTATAATCAGGTCTTCAAGCTTGCTTGCCTTGTCCTGGAGAGATTTAATACGAAGTTCAATCTGTTCCTTGTCGTTTCGAAAAGAGGATGTTGGCATTCCTTTGATGTTTTGCTGATGAATAAGTGCATCGATTTCTTGGAGGTTGTGGCGGTGACGGCTCAATATCAATTCGATTGCAGCTAACTTGTCTGTTTTCGCAGTCAATTCCATGCGTTCACGCTGCAACCGAATCAGAGCGGCTTTCTCAGTTTTATTATTCGTCTCCACATCAATCAGAGTCTTTATAATAGCAGTAAGTTTTGACATCGAATCATCCGTCTTTTGTCGCTTTCTATTGCTTTTATTTGAAGTGGTTTTAGATTCCCCCTCTTTGGTTGAATCATCTTCGTTTTCCTCATACACACAAGCGGAACAAAATTCGCGTCCAGATCCGCGTAAATCGAACCATAGGCTGAGGTACATGACGGCTTAATCTCCACGACAAAAATTTCAAAATTCTGCGTGCTCGCCGGATATTTTAGAATTACCTTCAGCCTGGGAGAATGCGGCGTGGACATCTTTCCACATCGATTGCAACTTGGCGGCGGAATGTACCGTAATTTGGTCTGGAGAAATGCCATCAAAAAGAGAATCGTCAGATACAAGCCGATCGTAGATCTCTTTTAAAGTGTTAAATGCTGCCGCAACAGACTCCCAAAAGTTTCGCCCTCCTTCGTTCAACTCCTTTCTCGTTAGCTGATTCCCAGATGTAACAAATTTGCCAAAGAAATCATCTGAGAAAAGCACATTAACCAAGCGAAATAAACAATGTTTGGTTCTGCGAGCATCGGTTGTCTCTGAAGACGATTTTGTTTTTTACCAAGTCTCTGCCTCTCCAAAAGCAGTGCTACACCGCCTTTGGATTGGTCGTAAGCATTGAGGATTGAGACACGATCTTCTTTCTTGGTGTTCTTGGCTACTGACAGCTTACGAGCTGTGCATTCAAGTTTTAGCTGGTCAACGGTCCATTCGCTGTAGTCATCGGATGTGGGAGGAAGCACAGCGCGCTTACTATCTGTTTTTTGCTTTGCGGTCCATTTGGTTGTAGTCATAACCGTGTTAGTGTCTGTCGCTGAGTCCATTACGCTCTAGAATACTCCAGAAATGGTGTCGCTCCGCGCAATCGAACACCTCACAAAGTGATGCCTTAATATAGAATTGAATGGGATCATGAGCTTGTTAAGAACCAATATGGGATCACACAACAAACTAACCTAAACCACTTTTGAATCATAAACCCATGATCCTTGTTAAGAACGGCCATTAAGGACGATCCGCTGGCATTGCTCTTCTTTTTCCTGCCGCCAAGGATTTGGTCCCAAATTGCTGTCGAAAGCAACCGCTATCATACTCAGTCAATTACTACGAGGGCCCGCTCAATTCGCAGACAGCAACAGCGTAGTGGTGGCGAAGCAGAAAATGTTGCTGAGATCAGACGGCGGTTGTCAGCAGTTGAAGAAATACAAACTTACGAGGTCCTTCAAGTTATGGCATTGATGATTGCACGTATGTTAGTCCCCATCCGGAAAGGCATTGCAGCGCATTGGTCAATGAAGAAAGTTGGAGTTCTACCGTCAAACCGCTTCAGTCTCGTGATGGGAAAGAATCGTTTTTTTCATGTCATGGGATATCTACACTTTTCGAGCAACAAGTCGCCACAAGCTCGTACGGACCGAGCGTGGAAGATATGACCGGTGATCGACGTGCTACAGCGAACATTCGCTCGTGGATACAGAGCTCCCCCAGTCATCAGCTTCGATGAAGCAACACTGCCTTTGCGCTCGCGATACAATCCCATGAGGATCTTCAACAAGGACAAGCCCCACAAGTGGGGGACGAAGGTGTTTGCTGCTGCGTATGCCAAGTCCGCGTACTGCATGAGGTAGCTGTGAGGCAAGCTTCGGCTTGCCTTTTTTTTGGCCCAAGTACTTATGTTGACTTGTCCAACATAAGAATCCTGCGCCATCTGTTGATACAACATAATAGTAACATACTTGTCTCTGTTGATGTGTGTTGCCTGGTAGAATTGAGATTTATTGCGAAGCGAAGCCACATCTACGTACTCCTGTTCCAAAGGATAACAACACTGGAGAAGCGGCTGTACTTCGAAGCTTGAAAGCTCTCTTATCTCCGTCACCGACGTCTCCATGGAGGTTAGTCGTCACCGACCGTTTCTACACGTCGGTCAAGCTGGCGCTGGAGCTGCTTCATTATCGGATGTATCTAACGGGGACGATACAGACGGATGGATCAGGTTACGCTGCTGGAGTGATCACTACGAAAAAGAAAAAAAAGGTGAACAGGCGCGAGGTACTGGTGCCTCCGCAAGGTACCATCAAGCTGGCTCAAAACAAGATGTTTCCGCAACTAACTGCTGCCATGTGGATGGACCGTAACCCGGTGCACCTGCTCTCAAGTGGAAGCAGCCGCCAAACCGGCACCGTGAGTACGTACTACATGCATTGGGTTCCTATTTGGTTGTTAGCACTAATTGTATTTGTATTCTAGTGAGACGCATCCACGGTGAAATGACGCCGGTGCCGGCTCCAAAGCTTGCTCGCGACTACCACCGCTGGATGGGTGGAGTCGACGTCCATGATCAACTCCGGTTGCAACGTTACAGCGTGCAACTTTGCTACAAAACACGCAAGTACTACAAGACTCTGTTTCTGGGGTTTCTGGATATGGCGCTCGTGAACGCGTTTATCGTTCATCGCCACTATCGAAAGGTAAACAACAGGCGCCCGCCAAAACACTTCTCGGTTTTTGAGGAATTGATGGAGCAGCTACTGGCAGTAGATTCAATCGAAGCGTTTGACGAGATTGAGGTAGGTCAAATGTTGACCAGTCAGCATAACCTCGTCTGCTTCAGCAGCCTTCCAACATAACAACTAACTTATGATGGGCTTCACTGTATTGGAACAGCAAGCGACATCTGCGCAAGATAGAACTGCCCCCTCGCCGGCAAGAGCAGATTCAACACAGCTACAAGGAAGCGCATCGTCAGCTATCGACGGACATTGTTTAGAAGAAAACCCAGATACTGTCGATCGCGAGCAGGGTGTGAAGCGACGCCACCGATCATGCAAAGTCTGTGCCATCTACAAGGTCAAGCCTCGCAAGTTTACGAAATACTTCTGCACGGAGTGCTTGAACGGGAACAAACGGTGCGTAGCTCGCTTGGTTCCCTTACCGTAAGCTTTGGCTAACTCGTTTTGATTTAGTAAATACCTATGCAACGTTCCGCGTGAAGGCAGGGTCAGTACGTGCTTCAGCATTTGGCATGCTGATTGGAACAACGGCAACGACATTCCGCGCGACCTACTGCAAGAGCACAGGACACGTGAACGACCGCCAGCGTCGCGGCCAGGCAAGAAGCGGAGACGCAGACAGCAGGTAGGCGAGAGTGGAGCAAGTGCTGGTGCTGGGGAGTCGAGCGAAGAAGATGATGAAGCGGTGGAGGAGGAGGCGTAGTGGTTGCGCCGTCTACGTGAGGTCGTACATGTCTATGCAAGGAGCGATCAATTGATACGGCACTTGATCTTTCTTGTTATTGGCTATAATAAATGAACTCACCGCTGCTGGACGTATGCAACAACACAAAGATAGGCTAATCAATAAACAGTACATATCTAATGTGTTTTTATACAGCATAGCTGCATAGGATCGTCTCAATGTACTACATAAACCCTCATTTATGTTGGAGAATCCGTACTATACACACTGGCAAGTCGTTGTTACCACCCCGAACCCGCGCCAAGATATCCGGACTTAATTGAAACCCCATACAAATTCCTTTATATCTGTATATGGGACGAGGTCAAAATATACCCTCATATTTGAGGCCGGGAACTAAGGGGTTAATTATGGAGGCTTCTACCCAGTATTTGCTCACGATACAACGCTATCTGGCGCAAACAATACAGTTTTAAATTCAAAACG